CTTATTTTTTGTAAGAAGTGAATTTTTTGTAGTGATAAAAAAGATATATGTTAGAAGTTTTAATTTATAATATTTTATTATTTATTTTTTTATCTTTTATTTCCTTATACATTTTATTTAAATAATCAATAAATTAAAAAAGATGAGATGGACTACTACTTTCATTTTCTAATTCTAAAATATAGAACTTGATCAAATAAAATAATAAACATAAGCAAACGAATCAAACCAAACTAAATTAAACATACGGAGTAATACTTTTTTACTTTGGTAAACCGAACTTCAAACCGAACCGAAACCGAACCGAAATCAAACCGAAACACAAATGGTTTTAGTTTGGTACAAATTCTCCCAACCTGAATAAACCGAAACCAAACCGAAACCGAAGAAAACCGAACCGTAAACCGAATTGCCCACCCCTAATTTTAATCCTCGTGTCAGTTGTACTTCAGGACATAAAAATGGGACGAGAGGATGAAGTAGTATTAATCCATAGAGTTTTTCTTCTTTTGATTTGTTCGTTCTCTTGCTCATATTCTTTGATCATATTCTTTTTATTGTTTCATTTTATGGAAATATATAACATTGGTAAAATTCATTTTCTTACGCATGAACCCGAAATGGTATGAAAATAGTCAATCAGATGGTCAGTATACTACTCCCTTCGTCCCATCTAAAGGTTCTCGTCCACTATTCTCCTGTCAACGTGCATTGTTCTTAATCTTTTACTTTATATATCCAACTTTTATCAAATTTAATTTATTTTGATCATGTTTTATAGAATTTTTAATGTAGTTTCTAAATATGTAAATTTTATTTACTAAAAATAATTCTACTAATGACAGAGACCAGTTAGCTTTATGGTCAGTCAAACATCGTAAACCGTGTGAGAACCTTTAAGTGGGACGGAGGCAATACAAATTTTCATTTGTGAGAGAAGTCAGAGAACGCCACCATGACTGCTAAATCTTCAAATTTTCAAACTAATTTTTTATTTTGCGTGAATTGTGTGATGATCAAATATTCAGATCGGTAATATTAAAAACACGCGCGTTTTCATTTGAATTAGTGAATGCGCTAAAGATGACTACTTTACCGATTTTGACATAATTATTCACATTTTTATTAGAGAAATAATATACATTTAAAAAAACGTAGAGGCCGTGTGGCAACACTGTTTTTCGGCTTATCGGCTTATCAGCTAACTTTTTCACCAAACACGTCATTTTTGCTTTCGCGCGCTGAATTGTGTAATAACCAGAAAAAGTAAGATTGAAGTTACTTTTATGTCTGTATTGGTTAAAGTTATTGTAGATGACCATTTAACTATATATTTTTACATACGGAGTATATTTTTCTTTACCTTATTAACAAAACACTAGTATATTTTAAAAAGAATTTTTTCTTAAATCAGCCAATGCAGACACTTCAGTTAGAACTTCATAAATTTCAACAGAATCAGTCAAAATAGCCAACTTTTGTGTTACCAAATAGGCTTGTAATATAACTCAGCAGATTCCGCCCATTTAACGGGTTCCGTTTGGATTTCACCTGTTTCAAATGATTCAGTCCATTTTATCTATCTGAGTGTCATTAAAGTATTAAACCATCTCTAATTAACTTTGGATGGGTCTTACTTAAAACCAAACCATAATGATTTGGTGAGTTGTGGGACGCACCGACGCACGTATATATAATTAGTTAGTGGTGCGTGTGTATAGTACGTCAACAGCTGGTGGTGGTGTCGCAAAGGGGGGTGGCGATACGGCAGCTGCGGATACGCTTTGATTCGATCCACCTTTCCTGCTGGGTAATGCGTAACCCACCTGACGCAAAATATTTCTTCAGATTTCTGTTTTGTTTTTTGCATCTCAAGTAAAGTAAATTAAATGATACTAATATTAATAGCAACAATAGTTAAAGATCAAAGCGATAAAAACAAAAACGAGTAAAGGGTCAGTTTGGTCCTCGAAGTTGCAAAAAAATGGTCAAATAAGTCCTTATATAGAAGATTTTGTCCGGACGTGCCATTTGAGGTGGCTCCCGGTAGAACTTTTTGATGAATTTTTTTGAGCATCTTATTCATTAAGTCTAGTTTACTCATACCAAATTTCAGCTAAAAATTCAATCGGGGAGACATTCAAATGAATTCTTGAAGATAATTGCGCTTTTAATGGCATAGTTATCTTCAAGAATTCATTTGAATGTCTTCCCGATTGAATTTTTATCTGAAATTTGGTATGAGTAAACTAGATTTAATGAATAAGATGCTCAAAAAAATTTATCAAAAAATTCCACCGGGAGCCACCTCAAATGACACGTCCGGATAGAATCTTCTATATAAGGACTTATTTGACCCCCTTTTTTGCAACTTCGAGGACCACACTGACCCTTATCCCAAACAAAAACTATATGTCTATATCATACTCATCCTCATCCAGTAATGATGATAATAATAAATGAAATTTCTATATATAGATGAAAATAAAAAAATAAAAAAGGTGGCCTTGCCGAGTAGGGATAAAGAAAATTCTAGTTTTAACAATGCTTTGAGAAAATATGTGCTGTATAATAATAATAATTTAAAGATCATTATATTTAGGAGTACTTTAAGCTAAGGAGCCATGGATGATTGGTTTATGGAATTATATATTATATATACAAAGTATAATTAAGTAACTTGACAACACAATTACACAAATATATATGCCTCTTATGTTTTATACTGGAATTTATTACCAACATAAACAATAAGTGACCTTGACATTATCAAGTTAATCGAAATGATCAATTAACTTTAATTAATTACTTTTCTTGTTCAAGTCATTTTTTTATTCTGTCATCACGAGTAGCGTTTTTTTTTTAATATGTCAAATTTACTTTTTGCGGCTTTAGCATCACAGTTACGTTTCGAATATACTTCGTATAAATCATACTAACAATAAATATTAGCAAAAAAAGAGATAATTCTATCTCAAGATTCATCAAACTTTAAAAACGCAAACTATACAACAATTTGGAAGATTAAATATAATGAATGACATTAACATTTAACATAACAGATAATATGAGAAAATAGAAAAGAACATCAAAAAAAATATAATGAATGGCAAATTCCCTTTAGCTATGGCTGTATGGCTTGACTACTTGACCTCAGGTCAGTCAACGCTCTTCGGGTCCAGGAACATAAGGGCGTTTTTTTATTTCAGTTTATTTGGCGGGTTTTTTCAAAGTTTTGACATGTTTCAATAAATTCTGATGGAACATACTTTTATACACAACATTAGTAAATAAATTATAGACATTCCTTTAATTAGTTGCTTGTATATATGCCCATGCAATTGATTTAAAAAATATCAGTACGATAAGAGTTTCCCAAGTTTGATATCTTTTGGTGGGGATGTACATCTCTGTTTATTTTAGCCAAGCCAAATTAAAGTATACCCAAACCTATTAACCTAATCATGTGCGACTTAGTTTGAATTTGGCAGTATTTAGTATTAAAAAAATATTAAGTTAGGAATGGAGAGAGTATTTTGATATATGACCTATGTTGTCATAAATGTTACCACGTATAATTTTTTTTATTTTAAAAAAGTTATATATTCATTAGTTTTATTTTAAAAATTATTTTCTACAATGCAAAAATGTCGAAAATTCAAAACGCAAGCAATAAGTACTTTTTGAAGCTCTTATCGATCACTTCAAATATTAAGTCCAAACTTAATTTATTCAACACTTAATAGAATGAAAGAATTTTTCAAATTTCTTTGTAAATAAAATTTGAAAATCGTTGTCAATATAAGTTGGGTCATCATAGTAGATCGAATAAGACGTCTAGTTCAAGTTCTTCAAAATGTTAAAAAAACATATTGACTATGCAAGTACAAATATAAACATCATTACATTTCAAGTCCTAGGATTCCTAGGAACATTATTTTTTACAGAAATTGCCCTAAATAGGAGTAAAAAGGTTTTGAAATTCCAAAATGGGAGTATTATGTTTTTTATTCCCTGAATATGAGTAATCTGCCAAGTTTGGAAAAAAAATGCCATGTTTAAAGCCTTGTAATGCCCAAACTTGGCAAAAATTTACTCCTATTTAGGGAATAAAAAACATGATACTCCTATTTTAGAATTTCAAAAAGCTTTTACTCCTATTTAGGGAATTCTCTCTTTTTTTATACTAAATCTCACAATTATTACAATCATCTTGGACATTAAAAAGAAAAATACTTCGTATATTGAACCAGCACAAATTTATTTTGGTTACTTTTATAATTATGAAATTTCCATTATAGAACAAAATATGATTTGTAACAAAATGAGGTTAATGTATTCATCCTCATCCGTTTCCATAAATTAAATTTGAATTGTTATCTGACTAAATATCATCGATTATATTATTATTTACTACTCCCTTCATCCCCCTAAGTTTGTCCTGTTTTACTTTTTTCGTCTGTCCCATTAAGTTTGTCTCATACCATATTTGGTAATATTTGAGTATTTACAATTCATTCATACTTTATTCACACTTTATCAATTCAATATCAACCACACGATTTCACTTTTTCTTAAAAGTTGTGTCACACCCCTTTGTCCCAAACATAGTGGGACGAAGGTAGTATTATTATTATTTCTACCGTTAATGTTATTATTATTGTTATTATTAATATTATAATTATTATTGATATTATTACTAGTTATACTTTTAATTTTTTTATTTTATTAATAACAGTTCCTTAACGGTTCTGTAGACATATTTTTTGTAGAAATCATGAACCGAATCGTTAACAAAGGATAGGAACCGAACCGTTAACAATTTATAATTCATGTATAGGAACCGAACCGAACCAGATTTTAACGGTTCGGTTCCAATGGTTCTCTAGTTCTTGGTTCCAAAGTCTCACCTCTACAGTGGTACATGTAAACGACTTTTCATTAGAAATTAGAATAATAGAAATTGCTCTAGAACCAAAACATACACAAAGTTCACAAATAAGACTAGGTATATCTTATTTCCAAAAATATGACTTATTTAGTCCCGATAAAAGAATAAATGATTAAACAAGAGATGAGAGAACTTGAAAGTTTACAACCAAGTATGATTCAAGAATTTCCTGTAATACAAGTACACAACCCCGCCACCATGGCGATCGAGGTAAATAATAACACCACAAGCAACTCACATTGAGTTTGCATTATTTCAATCTTAATTTATTTAGACGTAGGGACACATTCAATATTAGATAAGCTCATATATGATCTAGCTTGGGTGATGGATGTGGTTAGGTGCTGACTTGGTTGATGGATGTGGTGGCAATTATGCAAGTCTTCGTCCAAGCTTTGGTGTTGGCGGTGGGAGCTTTGGTGCTGGTGGGGGTGTATGCAATGGTGCCCTTGGTGAGGGTGCTGGTCGATGTGGAGCCAATTTCATTGTATGAGTTGGCTTGGATGGTGAAGGCGCCGGAGCTTTCGACGCATGTGTGGGTTTGGATGGTGCAGGCGCGGGAGTTTTCGATGCATGTGCCGACTTGGATGGTGCAGGCGCGGGTGCTTTTGATGCATGTGTTGGCTTAGATGGTGCGGGCGTGGGAGCTTTCAATGCATGAGTCGGCTTGGACGGTGCGGGCGCGGGAGCTCTTGGTGCGTGCGTCAGCTTAGAAGGTGCGGGCGCGGGAGCTTTTGGTGTGTGCATTGGCTTCGAAGGTGCGGGTGCAGGAGCTTTCGATGCATGTGTCGGCTTGCATGGTGCTGGCGCGGGAGCTTTAGGTGCATGAGTTGGCTTGGATGGAGCGGGCGCGGGAACTTTTGATGCATGTGACAGCTTGGATGGTGCGGGGGCAGGAGCTTTCGGCGCATGTGTTGGCTTGGATGGTGCGGGTGCAGGGGCTTTTGATGCAAGTGTCAACTTGGATGGTGCGGGGGTGGGAGCTTTCGGTGTATGCGTCGGCTTAGAAGGTGCGGGTGCGGGAGCTTTCGATGCATGTGTCGGCTTGGATGGAGCGGGCGCGGGAGCTTTCGGTGCATGAGTCGGCTTGGATGGTGCGGGCGCGGGAGGTTTCGATGAATGCGTCGGCTTGGATGGCGCTGGCGCGGGAGGATGCGGCGACTTCGGTGGAGGCGCCATTGGCTTGAGTATGGATGCTGATATATCATTATCATCATAGGGCATAAATTCAATTGAGGGATCTGCTGATGAAAGAGTGAAGATCATCAATGACACTAGAAAAGTTACACTAATGTGCTGATTTAAAGGTCCCATGCTCGATTAACACCTGATGATGTTATTCTTTCTAATTATGTGAGAATTGTCTCTTGTTGTTTTTAGGATCGGATATATTGCATGCATGCAATGACGTTGTACATATGATTGCCCTGGCTTCATGTCATTTTATAGTTTTCATTATTGGTCTTAGTTTGGTGCTGATGAACATGACCTTGATCTACCTTTTATGAAGGTTGCCAAATCTCCGCTTCTCATGCACCAAAATTCAGGTTCTTTTTGCACCTTGCCTAACATTTCCATGAGTCTTTGTTTCCCCACCACAACCTTTATGGTTATATACTCCATATTTAGCTACGTTCATGATCGCGTTCATTTATTTTTGTCTATCCGAGTTGATTTCAATTTTTGTACATGATTAAAAGATAAAGGTGAATACTAAAGTATTGATAAAAAAAAGTGAGAGTAGAGTATCATGCATTTGATTCGTCTAAAATTAATATTTCATCATTTATTTATATTCAAATTATTCAATTACAATATTCTAATTGATATGTGTATACAAGCTATGTATCTAACCATAAAATTTTTCAAAACATAATCCATATTTTCCCTTTATAGTAATATTGTCGGGAGTTTAGATCTCATTCCATTTATTTTACTCTGTAACTCATTGGATTGGGTTTCATTGTTATTTGATTCGTAATTTTTTGACAAGGAGTTAATTGAGTATCTCTACACTACAAAAAACACGGATTGACAGGGATTTCTCAAAATTGGCTGGGAAATGTCAAATCTGTGCAAAAATAGTTTGACGTACACGAGCTATTTGGCACAAAACTATCGATATTCCCTGCCAAAATCCGTGTTAATCCCGTTATTTTTTGTAGTGCTAAAAGTGAGGGATTATATGTCTAAAGAGTGTATTGTTGCTAATGGGCAATCATGTTAATTAATTTTATGGGTTCGGCACTTCTAAAGTGTATACACTAGTGATTTTAAATATGGGTGTAAAATCTAATGCTCATATCATCTAAAAACATAGGGTATAAAGTCAAAATCTTCCTTAAAGAACAGAGAAGCTTTGAGTTGGGTTAACGAACAGGGTTGGGACTTTTTGGATGTCGAGTCAGATTCTTTTGGGGCCATAACTGGGATTATAAGAGACTCGAGTGTGTCTGCTATAGGGATCATTGCTGTAATATTCTAGAGATAAAAGAGGATTTTACTGATATTTCTTTATGTCATCTTAAATGATCAGCGAACAAGTCGGCTCATGAATTAGCTCAGGCTACGTGTTCTTTGTCTGGTTGTATTTGGTGAAGTGGTTCTCCTTTTAGTTTAATTTCTCATGTACTAAACACCAATTTTATTAATGATAGTTAATCCCTTTCTCTTCAAAAAAAAAATGCAGTTGGTTCTTGCTCATTAGTCATTGGTCATTCTCCCTTGGCCTTGTAAGCGAACAAATGAAGTGCACAAAAGTGCCAAACCTGTGCAATATGGCCTCCCGAATAGGGCTTTAAACGAATCAAATAATTTGTGCTTGATTCGCGATTCGAATTCGTATAAGACGATTCGAATTCGGAAAATTCAAATACAAATACAAATATGAATATTAAATTTGATTCAATTTGTTATCAAATACAAATAAGAATATCAGTGTATTCGATTCGAATAATAATCAAATATATTCGATTAATAATAGTGATAATATTAATAATAATAATAATAATATTAATAATAATAGTAATAACACTATAATAACTTTTAAAAGATAGCAATACCCTAAAGTGTAGTTCATATATACATTTACGCATACAAATTCTAAGTCCATTTGTAATAAATCAGAGTATAAATACGAATACAAATCGGAGTTTTGGTTCAAATGTCTTTCAAATACAATACAAATAATTATGTATTCGATTCGCAGAATAAAATTAGAGTCGTGACTTTGATATATACAATTATCAACTTATTTCACACATTATGAGTGTAATTTCTAATATGTATATGACAGTGTTTATTTCAAAAAGTTTGAAATAGATTTATATTTATTAATCATAAAATTGATTCACTTTAGTATTTCGTGCACAATCTAAAAATGCATTGATCCATTGAATTTAAATTCTAAAAACACATATTAAATCATAGCGTACATTCACAACATAAAAAAAATATAAGAAAAATTAATTTTAAGTGATATTTGACTAATATTTAACCTATGTTCAAATCTATTCGATATTCATATAAGATTAGTTAACTATTTGTATTGTTAAACAAATACAAATACAAATCGAAATTAATATTCGTTTCATATTTGAATTCGAATTCGTATTCAAAAAATGAAATAAATACAAATACAAAATCCTAATATTCGACTCGATTGGGTTCGTATACAACCCTACTCCCTTACAATTCATCCACCCAACCAGGAATTCTCGTACTCTACACGGGTCGGTGCCACACGAGTGACACGACCCGCCTTCCTCGTTTTCTGATGGACCAAGTCAACCTCGTAAACTCAAACCTTTGAAACGGGAAAAGTTTGGAATACATGCGTTATTTATTTGGTATTCGGCATCCAAGAAATTCAATTTTTATGAGGGTTTTTTAGGAGAATATTATTAAAATAAAACTTATTTACATAAATATGACTATTCATTACTACAACGTAGTGCTGTAGTAACTAAAGTTCAAAACTTGAACATAAATTACTATGATTTCATTACTACTCTAGTAATGAATCATATTTTTGTAAACCATCTTTATTTTGGTCATATTTATGTAATTATTTCTTTTTATGACATACTTCATAACAATTAATATAAAAAATTATTAATCACGTAATTATTAATTTCGTGAGTTGTATTGTGTGATAAATGTATGGTCTCTGTGTATTTTATACTTATCCAAATCTGGTTAGGTCTGATCTGATCTAGTGTGGCCTGGTCTGGTTTGGGGCTGAAAACAATTCAAGTAAAAACATCCTTACATGTTTTTAATTGGTCTGAAATTTGTAAGTCTGATTTGTTTTGAATTAGTCTGGTCTAATATGAATGATAAATGTCTAGTCTCTACGTATTTTATAATGAGAAAATAGTCAAAATGGAACATGAAGTTGTATTGACGGGAGTAAGTAGTACATCATCTTGTATTCGAAATTTTAAAGTACATGAACTTGTATTTTTATAGTCAATCAAGTACATTTTCTCTATAAGAACGTTAAAATAGCTGACATGGCCAAACTATCAGTTTGTAATATATCGTTGCAGTCCAAGTCATCAAATACTAGTAATTAATCTATAAACTCTAATTTCCTCCGTTACACTTGTTTCCACCTTCGATCTTCATTTTAAATTTATCAGATTTGCTCTCCCTTCTCTCACTCTTTATCTTATATTTCTCTCGTCTGCTCTCCAAGGGCTGAGCCAGTGCACTGGGGCGTATTGGAGCAGTACAAAGAATATTCTTGAGAAACAATTATACAAAATATTTACTTTAAAATTAAAGCATTTTTAAAATTTGATGTGAGTCAGGGCCTAGGTTGGCCCCCTCTAGCTCCGCCCCGTGTTGCTCCCTTTCTCTTTTTTTTTAACAATAACTTTATTCATAAAATCAGAAAATTACAGTGCGAAAAGATAAATAAAGGGAAAAAATTACATAAAAGAAATGAAAAGTAAAGACAAAAACTAGACCCAAGGGAAATCTCTAGCTTGTGATCTGGTCGTCATGCTATGCCGTCTTTTATTCTTCTGAGATTTCCTATAGATCTTGAGTTGCGTATTCAGGTTTTCTGTTGGCAGACAGTTTTCGGATGTGACCAGCTTTGATTTACGGCAAATCATCCTATTGAATTTGGAGTTCCTAATTTATTCCTTGTTTGATAGAGGGGGACGACAATCACTTTCTGTTGCATGTCCTAGAAAGTCATCTAAAAAGAAAGAGTCATTGGAATGATCATAGTTGTCTAAGGCATCAGAGTAAGCCTGGAGAAGTGGGGTTTGTGGTTGTTTCTCAAATGAGAGGAGTTGTTGTGTCTCGCCAAAGGCTCTCTGAACTTCATAATTAAAAATAAGTTTGGAGATTGTGATTTCCTCAGAATCACCCGACTTGTCATGCTCCCAAAGCACCACTTCCTCCTCGTGCTCTAAAACAGATAATTCAACAAAATTTAAAAGTAATGTCAAAAAATCATTGAGATTGGATTTGTGTGGGCCCATGGGGACTAAAATGGAGGTCCCTTTTTCCTTTGCAATTTTCAGATAAGAGCCTGATTTGTTGAGTTCAGTAGAAACCGTGATACACCCGAACTTTCTGCTCTGCCTGTAGTTAACATTAGTCGAGCCTGTGATTTGGTGTATAAATTAAAACGATATATCTGTGGAGCAAGATCTAATTTGAAATTAATCCCCTTCTCTTTTGTCTTCCCTCCCTGCTATCCCATCGGCTTCTTATTTTATTTGTTATCGTCCATCTTTTTATAGCAAGAGAAGAAAAAAATAAAATGAGCAAAGGGTCACTTAAGCCCTTGTACAATTGTTAATCCATCATATAAACCCACATACTCAAAAAAGCATCACATAAACCATTGTACTCCAAAAAAACATTCACATTGGCCCATAAATTAACCGGATGATGACCATTTTTAACCGGTCAATAGGCATTCAATGATATCTTTTTTCCTTTTTTTCTTAACTTTCTCGTTCTGCTTCCTCCTTTCTTTTTCTTCCTGACATTTTCCAGCTTAATTCCTCTCCGTTCCTTTTATCATTTTTCCTCGACTTTTTCTTTGTCTTTTCCTTTTTAATCTCTAGACCTTCACTCAGAGAATTGTGAATCGCCTTATATATGCTAATATGCATGTATCTCAACTCTCAACTCTCAAGTAATGAAGTACGTACCCTTCTCTTTTTCCCACTATCATCTGCTAATTGACTTGGGCATGATCATTTTGAATTTAAAATTCAATTTCATATTCCAAGTAGCTATAATATTGTCCACGCCATTAGAGAGTCTAGAATTATGACACTAAGAATGTTTTTACTTGAACTGTTATTTGCTGGTCTGGTCTGGTCTGGTCTGAACTGGTCTGGTTTCTTTGTATTTTTATAACTATCCAAGTCTGATCTGGTCTGGTCTGGACTGGTCTGGTCTGGGACAAATTACAGTCCAAGTAAAAACATCCTAATTTCATCATTTATAATCCGTTCGATCAGGCGCACATATAAGTGAAATCTTTAAATGTCACATTACATTTATGATACTTGAACAATGTTCCTTGTCACACAATTTTTTGTAAATAATTATTCCAGACTGTTAATCCTCTAATACAGAACAAATATATTCATTATTTCAATACATCACCTTACAATCTTTACAACTATGGATTCTAATTATAATTTAAATCCAAATATGTAAGTTGTCCTTTGATGTATTATCAGCCACATCTCCATATTTAATACAATTATATCTTAGGATACAAAATTGTGATCCTCAAAATAATATTTATATCATCATATTTCCAACCGTATCTTGTAATAGGAAAAGGGAAAAGGAACAAAACAAGAATATACTCCCTCCATCCCAAATTGTTTTGCAAAGTCAACATTTTTTTGATCAACTAATAATAAAAGTCAATGCTCGATATCGATAATTAATTCAATTTTTAATAATTATTAATTACAAATTCAGAAACTACAATAAAATCTCTTCAAAGTTGTAAACTTCAAAATAGAATATAATTTAAAATTTACATATTAATTAAGCGAATAAAATGAAACTATTTGACAAAGAAAAATCAAATTTGCAAATGGATGGAGGTAGTATAAATAAACAACAAGCTAAGCTAAGGGAAACTTAACCGCCAAGGCGGGAGTACGTGAGAGAGGGGGCATGCATAGGAGCGGGACGTACAACAATTAAGCTAGGGAGATTGAAAAAGGACATGAGAAATAAATTAAAAGGTTAAAAAGTGAACGAAAGAAGAATAAGGAGGAAGAAGGCATGGAAGGTGGAAGAGATTGGCTGGCTGGGAGCTGGAAGAACATCCAGGGAGAGAGAAACGGGAGTAAGAAAAGTTGAAGAACAAAACGGGTGAAAACGGTAGATAAAAACACTACAAAACGGGTGACGGCTTAAAAGCGGTCACCTTCCGGTGAATTGGCGGAAATGATCTTTTTTTTTAAGAAGTAACACTACAACATTTAAGGGCAACGGCAACGGCAATTTTTTTCAAACCCATAAAACTGTTGCTTTATACTATTATAGACCACAATTTTTTAAAGTGCTGCCAAAGTAGATAAATGTTTCTAGTTTTAAAATGCATCACTAAAATAACCGTCCCCTAAGAGGAGTGGGCAACGCTTTTTTTTAAATGGGCTTTCCACGCTTAAGAATTGTTGCCCTTTAACCGGGTTAAAATTTCGACGCGCGAATAATTGTTTAGTTGGCTCTTATTTTTTTGTTAACCGTCTGCCCTGTCTGTACCAGAACAAACGAGTAGCAAGTTCAAAATACTAAAAAAGGAAAATGATTCTCTTCTCACAAATCTCACCAGACTTCTTCTAGGTTTACGATGGATCGCTCAATCAGACCGCTCCTCAAATCCAAATGGTTTATCAGACTATCTGAACGCAGCTTAATCTGCATCTCCCTATTTTCTCACAGATCGGCCGATATCACCTTCACGAGTGCACGCCTCCCATACTCGCTCTGAAGTTGTCTTCCAGGTAAGTTTTTTACAAGTTGGAGTTCGTTGATTCCTACTAATCAACCTTTTGCTTATAATATGAAAGTAATAAATTGGAGTTCGTTAATTTCTACTGATTAATTGGTGTAGATTAGGTTCAATTCTAATTTCTAAGTATTTTGGAACCTCTCGTAAGAATGGTTTCATTTTAATGTGAGATTTGCTAAATTTTGGATCGAATAGTACAAATAGGGATAACCAGTCCCAGTTTTACATCTAAATTTTGGATCGAACAGTGATTTTCTAATGTTCAAATTGATGGCCGGTTTTGGATGGGCTGGTTCCTCACCCCCAGTAGCAATCATAACCCTTACCAATTACAGAGTATTATGATCGATTTTGCTGGTTCTGATCCATTTAAGGTAGTTTGACTCAACTTTTGTTTAAATTTTTTGATATATCATTACAGTTTACGACATATACATACAGTGTATTACTTCAAATTGTGGTCTTAGTGCTTCAGTCGTCACATGTACTAGATTCATCTATTTGTTAGACTATATTACCTCTATTAAAGTGTACTTCAATTGATGATCTAGGTACTTCAAACGTACTAGATAGTGTATGTCAGTTTGCTCCTAAATTGCATCTGTTACACTTTAATTCACATGTACTTCTAGTATGTACTTGAAGTACACTATTGAACACAATCATCGATAGTCCATTTGTTAGACTAAATTACCTCTTATTTACTTTTGCACGTGTATTACATTTAGTATTTCTTTAGTGCTTCAAATCATGAGGTCAATCCATGATTTTAAATTCATGGATGAACATTCATTGGTTGGATTGTGATATGTGACCCTACTTAAAAGAGCTTTAAAATGGAGACCTGCACTATATTAACCAAGTTATGACATTAGGTATTGTAATACTTGGTGACATGCTCCATATCCCCCAAATGTGTGAAAACAAAGCACAATTGTTAATTTGTTATAAGAATCGGGATTTAAAACCAAATATGGGCAAGTAGGTTTATGTACATCATGTTCTTTTCATTTACAATTTTGATTCTTTATTTTTTTTCAAACCTCTATCACTTCTCATGAGTAAATTTTTAATGGAAAATGATGAACGTGTTTCTAGGCTTTATGTTTATCAAGGACTTAGTAAAGATGATATTGTATAAATGTAATATACCTTCATGTTATACATACATCAAGTTTAAAACATGTCAGGAACATGCACGTAAGATAAGTAACAAAAGTACCCTCACTAAGTCTCTTTAAAACATCTTTAGCACCACTATAAAAAGATGCATCATGATTGTAACATTGAGTTATTTAACTTTGTAAGAAAAATGATACGTTTGTATACTTCATATAGGAAACACAATATATAGATTTTGGGGACATAATAAATGAATTTTCCTTATCATTTAGGTCTCCTTTTCTCAGGCGTTTTGGGTATTTTTAAGTTCATAATAATGGAAAAACATTATATATGAATGGTTGTTCTTGAAACAAGGTAAACAATCAAACTTTGTTTAGATATGATAAGTATACTTCTGCCTTTTGTTTTTATTAATATGTTCATATTCAAGGTTTAGATACCCTACTTATTACTATGTCCTGAGAAACTGTAAAAGGAAAAAAAGTGCTTTAACAAACTGTAAGAGGAAATGAGAAACCAGGGAGAGTACGGTGCCATGGAAGAACTACAACACGTTCTCTCTTGAAAAAAAAGGAAGAACTGGCAGAAATGGAAAAAAGACACGCCACTGAGGTGAAAGTATTAAATGATAAAATTCAAGAGCTAGAGAACAAATGTGCTAGACAAATGGCAGCAACAGATGAAAAATTCAGGCTTCTTCTAACGATGTTAAATCCGAACAAATCTGGAATGGATTTAGGTGCCTTTGCAGCTTTTCTATCTACTACAGCAGATACTAACCATGGTTTGCATTCTTCTACATCAACATATGCCCCATGTGATAATGAGGTTCAATTTCTTTTGATTTTATATACTCTTCTATTTTTACTCTAGCCCTTTTTATAGCATCAGCAAAAATGAAAAGTAACAACTGCTTGCTAGTGTTTTTTTTATTTCCTACTGAAGTATGCTAGGTGGAGTTTTTAAAATTCAAGTGTAGTGCTTGTCTTGTTGACTCTATTTTTTATGTAAAAAACTTACACATATGCCATTAAACATCAAAAAAGGTCTTTTGAAATGTTGAGGCTAGTATGTGTGTGCATAACATTTAATTAATATAATGCTGATTTATGTGTGGAGTAAAATAAAAGCAATGTCGCTTTATGATTGGTGGAGCATAATTATAGTGCTAGTCGGAGATAAATTTGTACTTCATCGGTATGGAGAGTTTTTATTTGCTCCCTTTTCTATCATGTATCTCTGTCTAGTTGTTTAGAACTACTAATACTTTAGTTTGTTTAACTAATATATAATACATATATCTTTTGTAGGTACATACTCATACAACTCAACTTCAGTATTTCCTCCGCAATATCAGTTTGAAGGATATATAAGCACTACCTTCCCTGTCTTAAATTTTTCATTGTTCCTTTTCTATTATTGTTTTTTTAAGGTAGTGATTCATTTCTGAGTATTTCAATCAATTATATTACATGAGTGATATGTGTCTGGAAGATCATATAACGATAATTACTTTTTCAGATTTTTCTTTAAGTTAAAGCATGCAAGGCAGTGTTTAAACTAAATAGTTAATAATAATTATATTGCTTCACCATAATATTATTATGTGACCAGCTGTATATGATTTATTTAATTAAATAGTAATGTTCTTTTGTAGATAAATGATGACGGTGATGAAGAAAGTGAAGATGAAGACATGAGCATGGATGGTTATGAGTGATTTGATGAAGTTTGTTTTCTTTTTGTTGTGGTTTTAAGTGATTTGATGAAGTTTTAAGTGATTGTTGTGTGGGGATTAAGACACTTCTACTGTGTTGTTTTAGACTTTACAAACCTTGTATGGTGATAAGGTGATTATTATATATAGCAGAACTTGGTTGGATTGTGATTTGTGAGTGATCATTATGAACTATTTTGTTGGTGCATAGAAGAGTGAAATGTATCCATTTTTAAAGAGCAAAATTGCTGCATTTTTAATGTTGTCATTTGCTTAGTCGTAATAGTTAAAAAATGTATCTTGCATATATGGCAACAGTTTTTTTTTTGTTACTATTGATAGAAACGGCTTAAAACCGTTGTCTTATCTACTTATAAAAATCGTTCTCTATGACATACCCTACGAGTACGGTTTTCTTATTGTGTTGCCTTTAAATGTAAAAAACCGTTTCCAAAAGTATAGGCAACGCCTTACATTGCCACAGTTTTCAAATTGTTGCCGAAAACAAAGACAACGGTTTTTTATTATTATGCAACGGTTTTTTAGCGTCGCGAAAAACCCGAAATGTTGTAGTGTAAGCAGGTTTAAGTGATGCTTTATTTAGTATATGGGTTCAAGTGATCTATTTGTAATTGTACAAGGGTCTATTTGACCTTTTTCTCAAATAAAATAGAGCAAAAAGAAGAAACTGATAGGATACATAGCAGTGAGAGCAGTCGGGAGAAATATAAGATGTAGAACGGAGAGAAGGGAGAGCAGACGAGAAAAATATAAGATAAAGAGCGAAGGTGAAAACGAGTGGATTGGAGGAAAATAAAATTTATAGATTAATTACTTGATGATTTGGACTGCAACTGTATAATACAAACGGAGAGTTTGGCCAGATCAGCCATTTTAACGTTCTGAAAGAGCAAATGTATTTGATTGACTATAAAAATACAAGCTCATGTATTTTAAAATTTTAAATGCAAGATGAAGTACTACTTACTCACGTCGATACAACTTCATGTACCATATGGATCATTTTCTCATTTTATAATTGTTCAAGTTTATCTGATCTGTCTAGCCAGATCATTTACTTAAACTCAACCATAGTGATTTGGTGAGATGTGGGGGTAAACGTGGCCACACACTTATAGTTAGTTAGTGTATGGTACGTCGACAGCTGGTGGTGGTGTGGCAAAGTGGGGTGGCGAAACGGCAGCTGCGGATCCGCTTTGATTCGATCCACCTTTCCTGCTTTGTATTGTAACCCACCTGACGCAAAATATTTCTTCAGTTTTCTATTTTGTTTTTTGCATCTGAAGTAAATTAAATCATACGGGGACACGACCAAAAAAAAATAGAAAAAAAAAAACAAAAAAAAGAAAAAAACATACGGGGACACAGACTAATGATACTAATAATAGCAACAATCGTTAAAGATCAAAATGATAAAAACAAACACTGTATCATGCTCATCCTGATCCAGTAATGATGATAATAATAAATGAAATTTCTATAGATGAAAGTAAAATAAAACGGTGGCCTTACCGAGTAGGGATAAAGAAAATTCTAGTAATAACAATGCTTTGAGAAATATCTCTAGAAATAACAATATTATATTACTACTATGTGCTACTAGTATATACTACCTCCGTCCCACTATGTTTGGGACAATTCGGTTTACGATGTTTGACTGACGATAAAACAAACAGATCCATATATGCACTTGAATTATTTTTGGAAAAAAAATTATATTTTCAGAAACTACATTAAAAACTTTAAAAAGTCATAAAAACCAGTATCAAATTTGATAAAATTTGATACATATAATAAGAGATTAAGAGTGATTTGTGTTGACCAAGTGAATAGTGTCTGAGACAATCTTAGCGGGACGGAGGGAGTAATACGGAGTAATAATTTAAAGATCATTTAGGAGTATGTTTAAGGAGTCTTGTGTGATTGGTTTATGGAATTATACAAAGTACTCCGTATAATTAACTTGACAACACAAATACCTCTTATATGTTTTATATATACTTGAGTTTACCAACATAGGGGGTGTTTGGCAAATGGCCATTGACTGATTGTGTTGGCTGATTAATAATAGCGGGTTCTGTTAGCTGTTTTGATCAGATATAGTATTGGCAGTTTGTAAAATATTGTTTTGTTAAATGGCTGTTTGCGGTCAGCTGATAACTTGTTAAATGACTTTTAAGGACATCAATTAATTTTTTATTTACTAACTACTTTTATATACATATCATACATTTTGTTAATGTTATTTTCACGACTAATTACAATATTTTTATGATTTACAAAAAAATAAAAATATTTTAAGAGAAGCAATAATTTTTTTAAACATTGTTTTTAATGTATTAAGCCATAAGGTAGATTAGAGACCCAGCCTACATATAAAACTAATAACTGAATGTAAAATAAAAGGCAAAAACAAAACAAAACGTTGGGAATAAATAGCAGCGAAAACACAATTTTAAAAGAAATTGGAATAAAAACAAAAAAAAAATAGCAGCAACTCATTTGATGAATTCACAGAGACTTTATTTATGAGTTGACATCCATTAGACCGGCCATTAGTTATTTTTCCATAGCATCAGAAGTCAGAACCTCAATTTGGTGTAGTTTTGGACATGCGAAGTAACGAAACAGGAGGGAGGGGCGTGGGTAGATTAGAAAAATTAGGAGAAAGGCTAAAACAGCTAATGTCAAAACGTCATGTTTTGACGTCATGTTTTGTAGCTTTTTGATTTTTTGGCTGTTTAGATAAAAAAAAAAGCTAAATAAAAAAGTTACTCCGTATGTAACCAAACATTCTATTATTAGCTGTTTCAAAAGGCCAAATATTAGTCAAAACAGTCAAAAAATGGCTGATAGACTCCCAACCAAACACAGAAACACTCCCATAAAAAATAGAGCCTATTTGGTAATATCTAAACCGGCTATATTGATTGATTTTGCTGAAATTTATGAAGTTATGAAAAAAGTTATATTTAAAATATATTTTATTATTAAAATAAATTTAAAATTATACTCCGTATGAAAAAACAGTTAAAATGTTCATATATAGTAACTTCAGCCAATGCAGCCAGAAAAGTAACTTCAATCTTTCTTATTACTCTGTATTACACAATCCAGCGCATGAAATCAAAAGTCTTATGTTTGATGAAAAAGTTGACCGATAAGCCAAAAAACAGGATTACCAAACGGATTGTAAGTGACCTTGACGTTATCAAGTTAATATATAAACTTCATAAAGAAATTGATACTTAAAACTTTTGCATTTTTAGTTTGCACTCCATTCGGCTCGAGATGATGATCAATACCTTTACTTTTGTTGTTCAAGTCATTTTTTCTAAAATTCTAGGTGTACACAATTAGTACACAAAGTGTACACAAAACCTCATAGTTGTCTGTATACACAAGCAATTCTTTTGAAAAGAAGCAGGATTTTATGCTAAAATACATGTATATAGACGAACAATATACAATTTATGTACACATTTTGTGTACACAAAAAATGACCCTTTTTTATTCTATGATTATGAGCAGTGGTCTTGCTAATATTCCAATTTTACATTTTTGCGGTTTAGCATCAATTCTTAATTAGTTTTGAATATGTAAATTATAATAACAACAATAAATATTACCCCGGAGTAGCAAAAAGGTGATAATTCTATCTCGACATTCATCTAACTTCAAAAACGCAAACCATACAACAATTTGGAAGTGATTTGGAGGAAAGTGATTAATAGTAAAAGTTGTCAGTGTTTGAGAAAAAAGTGATTATGAAAAAGTTAAAGTTGGTAGTGTTTGATAAAATAAGTGTTTTTGCGTAAACAAAAAGTGAAAAGCAGTTTAAAGCACCTCTCAACTTGCTTCCAGCTTTTAGCTTTTAAGTGATTAATTTAAGCAGAAGATGTCACTTGAAAACACCAATTTCAACTTTTTTATGAATAAAAGCTTAAAAACGTTTCTTTTAAATTTTTTACAAACACTCCTTAAATATAATGAATGACAAATTCCCTTTAGCTGTGACCGTATGGATTGACTACTTGACCTCAGATCAGTCAACGCTTTCTGTGTCCATGAACATAAGGGTGTTATACATTATTAATTGCAAACCAAGCATTCCAATCCAACTGGTTGTGAAGTTACTGTGCCTAGTGGGAGGTCTAGAGTTCGAAACCCACTAAACACATAAGGGTTCGAAACTCAATGGTTTGAGTTTCAGCCCGGATTACTCCAGGACCCCAGCCCCCCTCCCCCAGACACCCTGGAGTAGTAAAAACAAACATTATTACATTGCATGATTGGAGTTTGGTGGATTTTTTAAAAATTTTGACATGTTTCAATAAACTTTGTCATGGAAAATTATAGGGAAAACTGTCAAATAGGTCCTCGAACTTTCATAAAAAGATCCAATAAGTCCTTATATAGGAGGCTCTGTCCGGCCGTCGCGATTTGGGGCAGTTCCCGGTGGAACTTTTTGATGAAGATTTTCGAGCATCTTATTCATCAAGTCTAGTTTACTCATACCAAATTTCAGCTAAAACTTCAATCGGGAACGCATTCAAATTAATTCTTGAAGATAACTGCACATTTAACTGCATAGTTATCTTCAAGAATTAATTTGAATACGTTCCCTATTGAAGTTTTAGCTCAAATTTGGTACGAGTAAACTAGACTTGATGAATAAGATACTCAAAAAAATTCATCAAAAAATTCCACCACCCACCCAAATCGCGACGGCCGAACAGAGCCTCCTATATAAAGACTTATTTGACCTTTTTATGAAAGTTCGAGGACCTATTTGACAATTTTCCCAAAATTATATTTTTGCACAAAATTAGTACATAAGTTGCATACATCCCCTTAGTTAGTTACCTGTGTGGACATACAATTAAATTCAAAAATATCAATAATAGTTTTGCATACACAACATATACTGTAGAATTTGTGTACCAATTTTGTGTACAATAAGAGTTCCCAACTACGATATGGTTTGGTGGAGGTATATACCTCTGTTCATTTTGGCCGAGCCAAATTAAAGTATACCCAAACCTAATTGTGTGCGATTTAGTTTGAATTTGGGAATATTTTTCAAAACTCCATTGAATTGAATTAACTAAACTTGGAACAGATGAAATGAAACCAAGACGAATTTAAGAAGTCAATAAAACTTTAATACATAATGCTCCGCATAAATTAAAAAAAATGATAAATTTGAGTCATATCAAATGAATTTGA